GCTCCGGAGTGGTATGCAAGGGTTATGAGAGGGGCTTCAGAGGGGTATGAGAGGGGCATCAGAGGGAGTATAAGAGGGGCTTCAGAGGGGTATGAGAGGACTATAAGAGGGGCTTCAGAGGGGTATGAGAGGGGCATCAGAGTGGTATGAGAGGGGCATCAGAGGGGTATAAGAGGGGCTTCAGAGGGGTATGAGAGGAGTATAAGAGGGGCTTCAGAGGGGTATGAGAGGGGTATCACAACCTCTGTATACAAAATCATAATAAATGTACAAAATGAATAACGTGCCCAACGCTGATACTACAGTGACAGGAAATAATGAGCTGTGCACTATAAAGGGGACCTGTCATCAGATATACTCCCCTTGTTACTGGATACAAAGTTACAATGTTGCAGACTGATCACTGGGGGAGGGGAGACTGAGGAAATGCTTCCTCCTGCCTGCAGCAGACTGATCACTGGGGGAGGGGAGACTGAGGAAATGCTTCCTCCTGCCAGCAGCAGACTGATCACTGGGGGAGGGGAGACTGAGGAAATGCTTCCTCCTGCCAGCAGCAGACTGATGACATCATACTGATTGGAGCTCAGAGATTGACCTTGTGAAAGGTCCGGCAGGCAGAGAGTTCCCTTTGGTGAAATGGCGTTTCCTCTGCGGTCGGCTCTCTGAGTCATCGCCGCGTCTCGCGTCCTTTATCTGGGATATCTCTCGCTGAATAAACAGGATTATGAAATATTTATATAACACGAAAGACATCCTGTAAGCGAGTACAACGCGTGTCATCCCCGTCCTCCAGATATCGCGCTCTGTGATTCGGTTGCCGCGGTAACGATCCTTCCATATTTCATACTGATCAATGTTTTGTTAGTTTAGCTCCAAAGGTCTGGAAATCGGCGAGTTCTGCGCAGACACAAAATCGCAAGATAAGAACACGAATGAAAATGGCGTCGGACTGAACGCGCGGTGTTCTGATCGGACGCTGCGACGCGTGAGGGGAGTGCGGAGTGCCCGGGGCGGGTCGTATTACTTCGGTGTCACCGGTATCCGCAGAGTGACCAGCAGGGGGCGCCGGTCTGCGGGGGCCTCATGGAGTGTCTCCCCGTAACCCCCGCCCGCTCTCTCTATGAGGCCAACCGACCTGCCATCAGATCTGTGGAGAGGAGCCATTGCGCCAATCATTGGTCGGCGGCCAATGTCATCCCTCCGCAGCGGATTAGAGGAACGCTCCAAATTTAGAGAAACATGGCGACAATAACAGTGTTAGGAATCAGTACGCAGAGATCGCCTCCCCCCGCTCATGTGATCGGAAAATAATATAACGGAAAAGAAACGTGTCATAGAAAATGTCCAAATAATGTAACAAAGTATAAAATATTGTAACATAATATAATAAAGGATAAAACATAGAAAACTTGATATAATGTAACCAGATATGGTAATCAAAAATAAAATAAAAGCTACAATGTAACATAATATAGACTACAGAACAGAAAAGATTCGGGATTCTATGCGTTACATTGTTTCATGTTTCATGTCCCGTGTTCTAGATTATGTTACATTATTCGGACATTTTCTATGACGTGTTTCTAGATTCTATTCTGTTACATTGTATCTTCATCACATCATGTTACAGGGGGGAGGGGGGAGAGGATGATGAAGGTGCCGCTGAGGAGGATTCCCAGTGGGCGGAATTCTCGGTTCCTCCTCCATGACAGCCGCATGTACACAATGGATGGGAGGAGCCGGAGATACAATGAAGTCCGCCCCCCAAGGTGTGTAAAAGGGAACCCGGAGAATGTGGACAGACTGGACGTTATACAACCTTCCAATAATAGATCAATGAATGAGGGAAGATGGAGGACGAATGATCGCACAGCGCCACCAATAAAACGTGCGCCGGGACGGGAGGTGGAGCTGAAAAAAAGGAAAACAACGTCCCCAGCGCTCCAAACAACGATAAGAACGGCAATGAGAGCGCCTCTGTCCATAAATGAGCCTCTAATTGCCGTTCCTATACGGTTAAGGAGTGCGGCAAGTTTTTCTTCTTATTCAAGTTGGTGGAGCTGAACCCCCCAAGGGTGCCGGGAGGTGACGATCTGCTGCTGCGTCCGGCTGGTTCCCCTTTAAGAAGCACTCGACTGATCCTGAAGGCCCCATTCACACTGAGCGTATCGCAAATGGCGCGTTTGTCGCTCGATTTGCATTTTGCGCCATATCGCGCGGTTTGTCACGCGACATCGCGCAAATGGTTGCATTGAGCAAAGTAGAATCGCGCCGAAATCTGCTCCAAAAAGGGGATCCTGTTGTAGCGACGCACGACCCGCGACAGCGACGAACAGAGGCCCATTGCCATGCATTGGAGAGCGATATCGCGCGGTAAATATGCGCGATAAATCGCTCAGTGTGAATGGGGCCTAAGGCCGGGTTCACACCTGAGCGTATTTTTTTGCGCGTTTTTCCGTTCAGTGAAAAGCGCGTTTCACTGGCGGTATGATTTTTTTCCCCCTTTATTTTCTCTATTTTTTTTGTTTTGTTTCACTTTTAAACTTCCCGCCGGCTCCGCCCCCCCCCTGCGACGCGGCCACTCGCAAGGGACGGAACCCGGAAGTCGACAGCCGCCGGAGGACACAGCTGGGATCGCGGACAAGGTAAGACCAGTACGCTGTATTCCCGAGGTGTGGCTCGGGGGGGGGGGGGGCCGCA